AAATCAATCAAAAAGCGAGAAAAGCTATTGACAATGTTCGCGTCATTTTGAATAAAATTCACTTATCTTTGTTTACGGCAAGTTTACGGCGTCTTTTCCAATCATTTAATCCCGGCATTTGACCATTTTGGGGTCTTGTTATTGTAAAAAACAAATTGACGTCAGTTTCTTATGCGTCTGTCCTCCTATTGATGATAAATTTCGTCATAACATTGTCAAAGTTTACTGCGGAACCACTCGCCTGCGGCTCGTGGTTCCACAGCCACTTTGACAATGTTATGACGTAATTTATCATCAATAAGAAGACGGACGCATAAAAACTGACGTCAATTTGTTAACCTGCAGATGGCGTAGTGCACGCGCTAACAAATGCAAGAGACGCAAATGTTACTTACTGGGGAGGTGGTGGGAAAAAATGTAACGGACACAGTAAAAGTTTTCAAAAAAGATGAATAACTTTGGCTTGATGAGCTTGACATCACAAATTTGTTCTCAGAGCCTTGCTCTCCCAGCTCCACAACCAATCAGTTAGCTTGACTGCGCTTGCGAGTTTCGTCCTTAAGTCGCTGAGCAAAAAAAAAACTTATCCACACTGTCCCGTGTGATAAATTCCAGTGTCACGCTGTTTAGAATAGAGTAATGCCTCGTTAAGTGCTTCAATGAAGATTTATCAAAGCTGCACATTTCTCTGACTGCAAAGATACTAATCTAAGTCAGAAGGCCAAGTCTGTCATTGCTAACCTTTATGCAGGAGAACAATAAGTTATTTACAACCAAACTGTCCCAACTAATAAAGCAAAGTTCTACACATGGAATCAAGTGAAAATTATGTTTAAAGAATTCTCAATACAAATACATGGAATATGGACTAAGGGGTGGGTTTACTAAGAGAATTATCTTACATAACTGTCCTTAAAAAAAAAACAAAATTCTCACAAAAACACTACTTTTTGATGGAAGATTTTATTAGTGTCAGGTTTAGACCAAGTTTACCATCCTCCAATTTTAGACGTTTAAATACACTCAGATTGGTGAGCAGAAAGAAAACCTCACGTTCACGTTTTTGGAGGAAATTACCTTTGTTTAAAAACTTGTCCCGAGCCAAAACAATTCATCTAGAAAAAGCAAGCTTGATTTGGATAAGCAAAACATGTTAATAAACTGAATTTCATGTGAAAGCAGGGTAATGGGCTCCTGATGAAAGATGTTGCACGAGACAGCATCATCTTCGTTGCTTTTGGATGAAATATTTTCGTTCACAAACTACTACAAGAAATGGACCATTTTATCCTTTCATGAGGGGGTGCAAATTACCAGAAAGAAATTCTCGCACAAGACAAAGCGACACAAAAAAAAAGTCGCACAAAAAGAGCCACACAAAAGAAATATATGAAGCAAATCGAAACAAACCTTGCACGACCTGACCCTAGAAAAAATTCCTGTTCAGAAACTTTTCCCACCTCCCCCCCCCCTAAAAATATAATGGTCCATTCCTAATTTTGATTTCCTTTGATTTGCAATTTTTATCGCAAATTATTAATATTATGACAAACAGTTGTTTTCTATGCAAAAAAATATATCATTTTACTTTGATCAGCGATTAACCAGTTCAGGGAAAATGTTTTCCACCACATTTCAACTCTCAATAAATATCCCTCAACTAGTGCTTTGACTTCTCTAGACCTAGAATCTCATAAATAAATTATATTTATTATATGGCTCCGTCTCACAAGGACTGAGAACTACCGAATTCACAAATTTCATTAGCTGAAATCGATATTGAAAGCGGTCTAGATTTTCCCACCCAGACCGGCGTCTAGACAGGTAATGTTTTACCGTAACAAAGTTGCAAACTAAAATGCAAAGTCATTGACTGTTTTCATCTAACAATATTTATTTATGGAAGTGGCAAAAAGCCTGATGAGAAAAAAAAAGTAAAGAGGACGAGCAAACTTTAGCAGTTAGCCGTTCGCAAGCAAAATGACAGTTAGTACAAACCAGTTACATTACGAATTAAATTATATTTGTTTGCGCCATATAATAAACATCTTATTAACCGAGCTTAGTCGGTATGTATGGGAGAATCTTGACCTCGGTCGTGTGTACAGACCTCACTGCGTTCGGTCTGTACTCACGACCGAGGTCAAGATTCTCCCATACAGACCTCCTGCTCGGTTAATAAGAGATAAATATTAAAGCAAGATTTTTTTGTCCTGCCTCAATTCAAAGTGGTATTTAAGCCTAAACATTTCACCACTTCACGATGCAAAATATTTAATTATTATTTTTTAGTCTCTTGAAAGACCTCTTGTGTTGCTGTACTTAAAATGCCAAAAACTATTATTAAACTGTCCATATTCAAAATCAATTTTGGTTCCTGCCAGGAGTTTGCTGCATGGTTCTTGCCAGAATGCCAGAGGACCAGGCTCGGTTGTCATGGTTTCAACTATCTCCTAAGCCACCTTGACAGGGCACCTACAGCAGAGTCAAATGTCCTCAAAGCAGGATGTGTCCCATGGTAATTCAACATTAACGTCCCTGCTTCTCCCCAGTGCCCTGCTGCCTGTAACTGAGAGGCGACAAGCTTGACTCGTGCACCTGGCTGTGATGCTGCTGTGTCACCTGACTGAGTGTCTGTGTGTCCATCAGGGTGGCGGACAACAAAGCTAATGAGGGGAGTAAGGAAGGGAGTTTGTGCCACCTCTGCTGTTAGGCCATGTGATATAAGAAGTTCCAGCAGTTCATCATCATAAGAATTTGAATTGGGCTGTTAAGACAGAACGAATAAAAAATTAAACAAAAGCAGTTAGGAAAGAAAAATCACCGAGACTTTCAAAGCACAATGAATCAGATCGGACAAGCTGTTCATGACAGCCTTAAAGACACTAAATAAAATAAAATAAAATACTAATTTATAATTTTGTCAAATGTGTATATTAAGGCCCCGTCGACACCACGCCAGAGAAGTCTGAAAACGCATCAAATGTTTTCAGGCCACACTACGCCGGAGGAATTTGATCTGAAACGCAACAATCAACGGTCATTTTGGATTTGTGTTTGAGAAAAACTCGGTTAGGGAAATGGCACGATAGTCGTGACGTCACCGTTTCCGAAAAGCTTCGTTTTAGAAATGTTTTCCGTCCACACTAAAAGGCAAAGCCAGCGTTTTCAAATTCCTCCGGTTTGTAGAGCGCTTAAGAAAAGCTCCGTTTTCGTGACGGATTAGTGTGGACGGTAGGCCTAACCGGAGAAATAAAGCTGCGTTTTTATTTTTCTCCGGCGTCGTGTGGACCGGGCCTAAGCATATGCACTCCGGTCAAATTCTAACAGGTTTGATCTGTAAATCAATACTTGAGCCCCATGGATCTTCTTCCCAACACAGTGCTTACAAAGAAAGTCTTTCCACTTCTTCTGTGAGCAATACACGGGTTAAAATATCACTGATGAAACACATACATGTCTTACTGCACCCAGACATACCTAATATTAGTCCATCAGCTGAGGTGGTTGTATGGCTCACTTCAGGGGAACAAACAAAACTTGTATATTCTTTATCTTTGACTATTAAGCGTCATAAAAATGCATGATAGCAAGGATAGAACGGTAGCTTTCACTTTGTGAATCGAATTTTAAATTTACCCCCACTACCCTCCTTTCGGTCGCCATCTTGGAATTCTAAACGTTATTTTCTTATATGTTTCCTTTCTTAGAGGCACACGATATTTTTGCCTGGACGTATATTTGAAATAATTAGTATCTACATTATTTCAGTATTGTCTGTAGTTGTTCAAGCTATGATGACGTCATAAATTACGTCACAATGGCCGCCATTTTGTTTTCTAGTTAATGTATTCAACCTCTATTTCAACAATCTGAAATAACTAAATTACCCACGAGGTGCTCCACATCATAGCACTAGAAAAAAACCTTTTTCTTCGTTTAGTTTATTAAGCGTACTACGTCATGAACCAATGTACCATAACTTAACGTAGATACATGTAACTAGGTCCACACTTCAGTCCAGGCGCCAGGCTCGTATAACGCCCTTTGTCACTACTGTCACTTGCATTTGGATCTTTAACTTCTCAAAGTCATAAACAATTCATCAAACTTAAACACGGTAAATCATAACCGTGACGGTGTTTGGATATCTGATTGCTTTAGCAGATATTTCTACGATTTTATTTTTCTGTTTGTCCTTAGTTGTAGTTCCGATCGAGAAGTTATATCAAACACTCTGGCGCAATGCCTCCTCTAGTATCTCTTCAGGTACCGTTCACTCCTTCCCAACTCTCACCATAGCTCGGATATACCTTTCACTGTATTGGAGAATTATTGCTTACCAGAGAGTATCACAGGCTGTGATCGTGTGTGCGCCAGTAGGAACTTTCATGAAGTAGTCCTTGTCAATGCCTTGGTCAAGTTACTTCTCCAAGCTGTTAATAACTAAAGAAATTTTATCATTGTGGTCTTTCCACCTCTTCCATTCTTCATGTAGCACATTCCAAGGTTTTGACTTTGAGCAAGCAGTAGGACAAAGATATCAGTGCCCTATCTGACGAACTTGCTCGCATGTGGCTGCGTCTTAATCCCTAGCACTTATCTTCGTTTGTCTCGTACATGATCCGGTAACTGAGCCTGCTTCAGAATGCTTCTTTCTTCCACTGTGACACCAGGGAATTGGCAATGTCAGGCTTGTTTGCGGTGACACTGAAAAGCTTGTTCCCTGACTTTGGAGTATCGGCAGGAAATATGTTCTTGTGCTGTTCACCGTTACAGGTTGACACTCTCTAAAATCTTTCGACATTCTCGATCGATGCCTCGCGATGCATGCCGAACACTTCTCAACGTGCCTGTTGCCGGTGCTTATTACCAACTCAAACACTCTTAGCGACCACAAGAGACATACCTCCGGAGGGCGGGATATTCAACTTCTGCAAGACTACCATTCAAGGTATACTGAAAATACTGGTTGCATTCTCTGGGTATTTCTCGGTGACTCTGATGTGTCACTCTTGCTGTTGGGAGAGTTTTACGCAGTTGTTTTTCGCGGGAGTCCACAAGGATCGGCAAAAGTCCAAGGGAGTGGACAAAACTATCCGACAAGTGCCATCAGAGCAAATACATCACGATCCATACGGGGAGGAAGTACTACATCCTAGTTGCGAACCTTATGCACAGCCTACAGATCCTTAAAAGACTTCAGCTTGGCTTTCTTCAATGGATCTAAGTAATCTGAAGTGGGATTAGATGAGCAACGGTCGTTACAGTCATTCACTGCATCCTTTACCTTGCTTTTGGCCTGCAATAAGTCATCACTTACTTACTGTTGTCGCTTTGATGCCCCGGCGTTGACAAGCTTGTTAATGCTGCATCTTGTTTCCATGGCTAGGTGATAACATCCTTGAGCTGATCCACCAGCTTTCCTACAGCTTTGATGTCTTCTTTGATGATACTGGAGCCACCTCCTTATGGATGTAGGCCTGTGATGAAGTAATAGCTCAATACTCGTGAAGAAGCTTTCTAGGCTAACCTAGAACCCTGACAACCGCATACAATGCATTCATCCACCATTGATCACATCATGGTGCAGAGGAAACACTTTTGCACTTTCGTTTGTAAGACCCATGTTTGGGAACTAGGGTTGGATGTAGGAAACAGGCAAATGATTGTGAAGGCTTTGTTTCAACAAACTGGCAATTTATATCTATATTTTATCTACTTGCCCTCTTTTCATGAAATAATTTTGAGAACCGTACCCCACAATGTTTTTGCAATGATTATAAGTGCAAAATGATCATATTGTGA